TGTTATAATATGGCTGGAGTGATAGCACAGTGGTAGGGTGTTTGCCTTGCACGCAGCTGACCTGGCCAACCCAGGTTTGATTACTCCGCTCCTCTCGGAGAGCCTGGCAAGCTATCAAGAGAATCTCGCCCGCACGGCAAAGCCTGGCAAGCTACCTGTGATATATTTGATATGCCAAACACAGTAACAAGTGTCACAATGGAGACATTACTGGGCCCGCTCAAGTAAATCGATGAACAACGGGAGGACAGTGAGTGACAGTGAATATATGAACATAATTAAGTAGATGTATCTAGCTGTATTTCTCAGTTCTCATCAGTCTGAACATTTTCTTTTCTTATTTTTGTTTTTTGGGCTACACTAGTCTGTGTCAGGACTTAATCTTAGCTCTGCACTATGCTCAAGACTTAATCCTGACTCTGCACTCAGGAATTAATCATGACAGCGCTCTGGGGTCCATATGGGATGCCAGGGATTGAACCCAGGTCTGCTGCCTGCAAGGCAAGAGCTGTACATGTTTCTAGCCCCATAAACATTTTCATTTTCTACTTAGATAATATTATAACCTGAAAATAATACTATGTCAGTAAATTGATTCACTCCAGTATAAATATAAACTTTTCAATAAATAAAAATTGAAGCCAGTAACATCTCACAACAAATTGTAAGACTTGTTGTTACTGTTTTTGGCATATCAAATATTCCACAGGGATCAGGCTCCGCCTGGTATCTGCGGGTGGGATACTCTCGGTAGCTTGCTGGGCTCTTCGAAAGGGGCGGAGCAATCGAACCCAGGCCAGCCGTGTGCAAGGCAAATGCCCTACCCGCTGTACTATCACTCCAGCCCATAAATATTTTTACATATATTTTTATCATACTATATAAAAATTTCAGACTGATGCATAATGTGTTCTTTAATTTTTTTTAAATTTAAAAATTTTTTAATGACTCACCATGAGGTACAGTTACAGACTTAAAAATTTTCATGCTTACATTTCAGTCATACAATGATCGAGTACCTATCCCTCCACCAGTGCTCATTCTCCACCACCAATGTTCCCAGTACCTCCCCCTGTTCCCTCCCTGCCCCCCCCCCCCAACCTCTGTGGCAGGCACATTCCCTTTTACTCTCTCTTTCTCTCTCTTAGGGTGCTGTGGTTTGCAAGATGCATAATGTTATGCCTTTACAATTGGCATCTTTGAGGAGAACGCCCCTCATTTCATGTTCTTCATCCATGCCCTAGGGAGCTCACAGGTTCAGTTCAGAAAACCTAAGGTAGGCCCTATTAGTAGTATAAATAACAGTGAAGCACATTCTCTCCCAGCATACCATGCAGAACCCTCTGATAATTACCCACTAAATACTACTTAGTATCGGTGCTGGAGAGGTAGTTCAATGGACTGGACCCATGCTTTACAAGGGAGAAGTCAAGGGTTGATGTCTGGCTCCACATAGATGTTCCTCTGAGCAACTCATAAACACAGAGCTGGGAGTCTAAGTAGACACTATGTGTGGTCCAAGACCCACAAACAAATAAATGTTATGCAGTATAATATTCACTATTATTATTTGGGAGGGGGATTAAGACTGCACCCGACCATGTTCATCAGTTACTCCTGTCTATGTGCCCAGAGATTGCTCCTGGTGGTGCCCAGGGAACCATAAGTGGTGCCAATGATTCAAACTGGAGTTGGCTGTGTGCAAGGTAAGTGCCTTAATTCCTGCACTATTTCTCTGGCCAATGCACTTTATTTTTTATGTTTATAGTAATTCTCAATTTTAAGAAATATTAATTTGGAGTTGCATGTAAAAAATGTCTTTTAAACATCTCTCTCCCTCTATGATAAAATATTAAAAAACGCTTGTCTGAAGGATTCAGAGAACTACCTAACTACCATCCCTTATCAGGGAGAATGTGGGGTGAAGTCGAGATTTTACACTATTTCCTTTTTGAGATGTCTTTCAGTGTCTAAGTGGCACAAGGTATCTAAGTGGCCAAGATGTTGAGTAAGAAGCAGTAACTAAGAGACTGAGAAGCTAATTAGTGCATTTGATAGATTATGGGTCTGGAGAAGAAAGCAATGGAGTTCAAAGCTCTCTGTCAAACACTCGTGACTCGCCTCTGGATCTGGCATGTTTAACTTTATGTCATCTTGGCTAGTCCACAGTATCCAGATATTTGGCCAAACATTAACATAGATGTTTTTGTGAGATTAGCATTTAAACCTGTAGAATTTTGGTTGTTGCTTGGGGCTACATTCAGAAGTGCTCAGGAATTACTCCTGGTTGGGCACAGGGGACTGTATTGGGTGCTGGGGATTGAACCAGGGTCAGCTGCATGCAGGGAAAGTGTCTTCCCTGCTATACTAGTCCAAAATCAGTAGATTTTTGAGTGAAGCAGATTATCTGCCATAACTTGGTTGGGTCTTATCCAACCAGCTGAAAGCTGTAATCTTCCTGGGAGAGGAAATTCTGCCAATCAACTGCTGTTTCTGTTTATTCTGGGGCTACACCCAGCTGTGCTCAAGACTTACTCCTGGGGCTGAGGCAATAGCACAGCTGGGTAGGGCGTTTGCCTTGCACAGAGCTGACCCGGGTTCGATTCCCAGCATCCCATACGGCTCCTTGAGCACAGCCAGGAGTAATTCCTGACTGCAGACCCAGTAGTAACTTCTGTACATCGCCGGGTGTAACCCAAAACCCCAAAGGTAAAAGGTAAAGGCCCTCCCGTTGATCGTCGATTTGCTTGAGCGGGCCCAGTAACGTGTCCATTGGAGACTTTGTTGTTACTGTGCGGTAGAGCACTCGCCTTATAAGCGGCCAACATGGCCAACCCGAGTTCGATTCCTCCGCCCCTCTCGGAGAGCCCGGCAAGCTACCGAGAGTATTCGATATGCCAAAACCCCAAATAAATAAATAAATAAATAAATAAATAAATAAATACTTACTCCCGACTCTGTCTTGCATAAACCCTGGTCAGACTTGTGCAAGGCAAATGCCCTACCCGCTGTACTGTATCTCCAGCCTTTCCAATTGCTTTTGGATTCAAATTGTAGCTTTTTCATGAGTTTCTAGTCCACTGGCTGTAAATGCATGCACACATTCTATGGATCTTCTTCTAGCCAAGGCCTTTGCAGTTGAGGAGAGGCAGGAATAGTCAGTAAAAAAGAAGCCATGGAACTTCCCAGCCTGTCAGAGCCTGCTTGTAACCTCAGCATCATGCCCTCTCTTAGTGCTTAGGGGTAAGTACACGGACAGTTTGATGCCAGCTGAAAACTAGAAATATCACCTGTAGTATTCATTTGGGGAAGATTTCCCCAGCAGAGCCCAGGGGCCTGGGGGAGATCTGGGTTCTGCCTGGTGGTGCTTGGGAACCTCGAGTGCTGGGGATTAGACTTGGGCCCCACATGCCACACTTGCAAGGCTTGTGCTCCACCTCTTTGAGTCTCTCCCTGGTCCACCTGTAGTGTTCTGAAGATGAGGTTGTCCAATGTTACACAAATATTTAAAATGAGTCTCAATTTCCAATTATTACCATAAATGCAGGTTCTATCTTTCCAACATCTGGTTTGAGGATTATTTATAAAATTTTAGTTGAAGAATGAATTTATTAGCAGAATAAGAATTAATTGTTGAGCAATCCAATCATCTTTAACAAGTCAAATGAAGAAATGTCCCAGGATGGGAGATGCGTAATGAGAGTAGACTCTAGACCGAACATGATTGCCACTCAGTGTCTCTTTTGCAAACCACAGCACTCAAAAGGAGAGAGAGAACAAAAGGGAATTCCCTGTCACAGAGGCAGGGTGGGGTAGGGAGGATGGAGTGGTGTGGTGGGGTGGTGGGAGGACTACTGGAATCATTGGTGGTGGAGAATGGGCACTGGTGGAGGGATGGGTATTCGGTCATTCTATAACTGAAACCCAAGCACAAAAATTTGTAAGTCTACAACTGTACCTCATGGTATTTCACTAATAAAAATAAATAAATAAATAAAGAAATGTCAAAAAGGGACTGGGGAGATAACTCAGAAGTCAGAGGCACAAGCTTTGTATGATCCCTGGCACCACAAGGTTCTCTGGGTGGGATTCAAAGTTGAACTCCGGATGGCCCCTAGCACCTCTAGGCCTGAGAAGTAGCACACTGCAAGTCCCGTAGCATGAAACCTGAGCTGGTTGACTGGATCTCACTGGGAGTGGCTCTGGGGTCCTCTGAGCAGTGCTTGGGAAACTGCATTGTCCCAAAGGAAAGAAGCTGCAAAAAACCAAAATAGGAAGAAGACACCCAGGCGCTTAAAAAAAAAAACAAAAAACAACATTCAAATACATTTTTCACTGTCTTAAAAATACTTGACTTCAATAACACCTTCTGGTGAGAATCAAGTCTGGCAACAAAGGCAGACTCCGGAAGAGGTTTCTGAGCCCTTATTTTGGAAAACGAGTTTGTGTGGAACCGAAGGATGAATAATACCTGGGAAGTTCCCTTCCTTCAGGTCTCATGAAACAAGGTCAGCTGCCTTCCCCCATGCTTTTTGTTATGACTTTTTCTATCCCGTAACACAAACTTTGTGGGTGGGAGGGGAATAAGTGGGAAGCCAGACTTATTGAGGAGCAGGTGGGCAGGAACTCAGGGAGTGTGGAGGCTGTCAGGAGTGTGTAACTGCTGTTTGTCCAGTGATGCATAATTGAGGATGTATTTGACACCACAGCAAGTGGCACTAGGCACTTTTTAACCACTGAGTCTTCAAACTCCTCCCCATTAACCATGGCAAAGCCTCACTTCTTGGAGATGTGGATCTTCTGCGACCAACTTGAACTTGGCCTGGCACTGAGTCTCAGTCACATTCCTTGCTATACAGTTACAGTTTGATGCTGAGGGTCATGATAACTTGCTCAGTGTGTGACCACTGTGCCCTGAGGCTTTCCAGAGGCACATCCATACCTGTTTGGAGTCCAAGATTGGGGACAGCGTGAGGGCAGATGTGAATGTCCACCCAAAGGATTGTCTCCAGGGCCCTTTAGGTCTACTTATACAAACCACAGGCTATGGACAGTATCAAGCAGCCACTCTCTCAGCCTCTGCACATGGCCCCATGGGGAGAAAGAGCACAGTAAACTTACTTTGCTGAAGATACCACAGATTATTGCTTGTTTGGGGGGCCACACCTGGCTATGCCCAGAACTTACTCCTGGCTTTATGCTCAGGGATCACTCCTGGTGGTACTGGGGGGACCATATGCAATGCTGGAGTTTGAACTGGGGCCCCCGTGTAAAGCAAACTCTAACTACCTGTGCTATCTCTCCAGACCTACCACAGATATTTAATTAAAGAAAAAAATCCTGGGCTGGAGAGATAGCACAGGGGTCTAAGGTGCTTGCCTTGATGGAGGCTGACAGAAATTGATCCCCAGCACTACATATGGTCCCCTGAGCCCAGTTAGGAGTGAGCCCTGAGTGCAGAGCCAGGAGTAAACCCTGAGCACATCTGGGTGTGGCCCCAAGCTCTCCACCACTACCACCAAATTTCCCAGTCCCAGTCCTATTGCTGTTTTGTGATTATTAGGGATCACGTGTTTGCTAGGAGTTACACACGCAGTGTGGTGCCCACACTCTAGTGTTCTCCTGGGCTTATGCACTTTTTACCTGATGATGCTCTCAGAGTTTACGCCTGGCTTTATACTCAGGGATCATTCCTGGTGGTGCTCGGGGGACCATTTGTGGTACTGGGAATCAAACCTGGGTTGACCTTGAGCCAGGCAATCACCTTACCCACTGCAATATCTCTCTGGCCCCAAGAACTTGAAGACTCTTATTGGGGTACACACACACCTGCTGAGATTCTGCTACTCTTAGCTGTGGTGCTCGCATGTATTCTGGTTGGAGTACTCCCTAGGGGTTGCTGTGGTGCTCCTGTGTGTATTCACTGGGGTGCACTCCTGGCTGTGGTGCTCCCACACACTTCAGTTGCTGAGCTCCTACACACCTGGCTGTGTGGACTCTAGACCAGGACTTCTTAAACTTTCCACCCACAACTCTTTTTTTTCCCCCTGGGGAAATGCAACATGCGCAAATGCTGCCAGAAACACCTTGGATTCATTACATGGTTGATCTTGAATTGAGTTTTGGTTGTTGTGCTTTCAGAAACCTTTTGCTGTTGCCAAATTTTTTGTGATTCTCCACATTCAGTTATGCAACCACCTAGCGACCTACCATTTTAAGAAGAGGGGCTGGGAGCCATGCTCAAGGCATGTGAGTGGGAGAATGGACCCAACAGCCCTGCCTCTGCAAAGCTGGGCTTTTGTCACGGAACCACCCCCACCCTCCCCATGTCAGTCACGGCCTTGATTTTTCATAAACATGAGGCTAGTCTCTGACCTAGATCCAAATTATGGCCTGCTGATCAGACCACTTAAAAACTTGAGGTACGTTCAATTTCGAGGAGGAAACTTGCCTCTGGAGTTGTTCATGTTCCTCCTGCATGTTGGCTCCGACCCTCCGTTTTTATTTATTGTTTTTATTATATATTGTTTTGTTCTTTGGATTTAACTCTGTTTGGAGAGAGCCAAAGTCCAGTTTATCTTCCTTAAATAAGAACAACATGTGCCTCTCCTAACTCTAATGAAACGTCTGTTTGTTTATGGGTCATTCTACTCCATTTCTATGCCAGCTCTTCAATAAATGCTACCAATCCAGGATTCTGAGCTCAGCGTTTGACATAAGACCCGATGAGCTTTCAGCAACAGCTCCATCGCAGGTCACTGCCATAATCTCTGCCCTTCTGTGGCAAGAAGAATATCAATCATATCATCTGCAACCTTTTCTGACCTATCCTCAGTTTTGGGTCAGGGAGGAACTGATTTGGCATTGCTGTTCTGTTCAGGCGCCAGGGTGGAGCAAACAGATTTCCCGAGGCTTGGCCCAGCTGAGTTCTAACACCCGTACTTTTCCACTCATTTAAAAAAAAAAAAATCCAATCCTATTTTTGGATGAGTTGGTTGCAGAGCCCCTTGCTATTTTTTCAAAAGAGCTATTCTTTTTACTCTGATGACACGATTTTATTTTTCTGGACAAGGAATGGTCTGTATCTACAGCAGACTCTACGTAGCTAAGCATGAACAGAGAAAAGGGCTGTAGAGGAAAACCTCTAAGACTAGAGTTATAACCTACGTAGGTTATTCCTGTGCTAGTCCCAAATTTCTGTTTTTATTTATTTAGTTATTCTTATTTTCAAATCCAGGAACTATTTTATTTGAGAGAAGGGGAAGGAAAGGAAAAGAAGGCAAAGAAGCTCCTGGATTTTGGGAGGGATCTTCCTCTAAGGATTCCAGAAATAAATCTTTCCCTTTTCTTATCTTTTTAACAAAGGGGTAGGGTGAGGAATTTTCATTAAGTTTAAAGCAGTTGGGTGGTAAAAGGATTAGGAAGCTGAGGTGATTATCTCCTGGTGTCTGCTCATCCAAGTTTTCCAGGCACATCCTGGTCTCACCCTGTGACATTCCATACCAATGACTCCTTACTCCCAATTTTTAAGTTAGTCAACCACATTCTCCAAAATTTGATTCCCTGGATTTGCTTATACAGAAACCATTTGTGGTCACTGCAAGTTCTTTTTCTGCCGTAAAGTAGGAATCAATGTAGTAAGTAGGTCATGGGCTCTCTTACCCCACCTTGGTGAGCTGTGTGAAAGCAAAACCAAAACCCGTTTGGAAACTGAGAGCCTTTAATCTTACTCAGTCACCAATAATAATACAGCAAGATTCTCCAGAGGCATTGGCCAAAGATTACAATTCCCAGTTAACTGTCACCAAGTATTTATTAAAATATCACCAGAGAGAAACTTGAAATTGTTTCAAATATATACAGTTCATCTGAGCTCTCAGCTACAGAAAAATGCATCCCTAGGTTAAGCCAGGTGGCTTCAGCTAAAGTATCAGAGTCAAACTCTATTACCCCTACTGATGCTCTCCTGAGCTCCTGTAGATTACTTCTTCTATATATTGTATGATATTGAAATGCTATCTTTTATACACAAGCAGGATCTTCTCTGCGATGTTTAAATTTGTTAGGCAGGGTGCAAGGGATATAGCTCAAGGGGCTGGCGCTCATGTCTGTCATGCACAGGGACCTGGTCTGAGCCTTGGTATTTCATGGTCCCTGAGCTCCACTGGATGTAGCCTTGGAGGCCCCTGCACCACTGAAGAGGATCCCCCCAACAACAACAAAAAAAACCCAGACACTGATTGTACAAGTGTTCATTGTTTTTATAATAACAAATGAACACTTGTTATTATGCAAATATCCATGTTATTATTGATGACATCATGTCCCATGTGGCCCATCTGTGGTGGGAATGTAAGTGATCATGGTTATAGATGTTGATTTATCACTGGACCCACTTGATTCAATCTTTGTATCCTACATTTCTCCATACCCACATTCATTTTCTCTTTGTAGCACTGTACTATTTCCCCGTTGTTCATGGATTTTCTCGAACGGACACCAGTAACGTCTCCATTGTAAGACTTGTTGTTACTGGTTTTGGCATATTGAATACACCACGGGTAGCTTGCTAGGCTTTGCTGTGTGGGCTTTCTCTTTGTAATGTTTCACATATCCTGAAAAGCTCTCTCTTAAACACCCAGTGTCTAGCATGGGCTCGGTATCTAATCATAGAGAAAATATATAAGTTGAAAGAATTAAAAGCACACACAAATCATCATTATAAAGCATACAAATTCAGTTATAGTAGTGAAGTAGAGTAGTGAAAATAAAAACATTTCTTTCTCCCTGCCTTGGGTTTCCTTAATACACGTACAAACTTGGTGCTTATCATGTGCACACTAATCAGTTATAAAGAAATTGTCATTGTGCTATTTCATGGGAATATCTTACTTTTTCTATTCCACTTTTGCTCTGTGATGATAGCATGACATCTACTTCCTGTGTACTTTGAAGAGCATTCGCACTCAGTAAGTACTACGGAGGTGCAAATAAAGCGAATAAGTGGTCTGGAGGTGACCCATCATTTGGAGAGTGAAAGAGTTATTACCCCATAGTTCAGGTGCTGTTGGGGCGTGTGCTGGGAATGAACCCAAAAACAGTCTCATGCAGGAAAAAATAGATGCTCCACCACTGAACTGCCTCCCCCAGCCCCCAGGTGTGCTTCTCTAAAACCCATAGCACTTTGAGATTGTTCACTTTGGGTTCTGCTGCCCACAGTGGTGGATTTTCCTCTTAGGCACCTGTGTAGACATCTGTTCTTTTGTCTTCCCAGCATCTACTCCCCCTTCTACTGTTAATGCCATTTTCTTTAAAAAATAAATGCTTCTCCACTCTCACTGTGATATCTGATAGACACATGACCCAGGCCTGCCAAACAGAGCATTCCATTAATTTGGTGGGGATGATTGATCCTGTGAGGGAGGCATGATGAAAACATGGCGTGTGACTCAGGTCCAAGATTTGTGCAATCTTTGGACATACAAGTTCTCTTTTTACTGCTGGAGTTACCAAGAAACTAGGCTTTACCTGCCATTGACAGAGTTACCATATTGAAGAAATCTAGTAAAAGAACCCCAAGTATTTGAGCCACTGGGGGAATACAAAATGAGTCTTGATGATAGTGGGCACTGGATTCAGTGAACTGAGTTTTCTGTTTGAGTAATGAAAAGAAGTTAAATCAGGGCTGGAGAGACAGTACCGGGTTAGGATGCTTGCCTTGCACTTGTCAACCCTGGTTTGATTCCCAGCACTGCATGGTTTCCCAAGCACCACAAACACAGAGCCAGTAATAGTCCCTGAGCAGCCATCAAGTTGTTCCTACCTCCTGCCAGACACACACACACACACACACACACACACAGCCCACAAACACAGGCAGGATTTTATTTTTATCATATTGTTTCTTCTTAGATCACACTGCAGTTATCAAGGCCTATAATCAGAGTGCTTGTGTTTAAAGATAAATGCTTGAGCTGGAAATAAAATATTTGTGTGAATTTATCCGTGAAGCAATTAAAAATAAGCTAAATGGCTCAGGCAAAACTCAGTGATAGAACCCTGTCTTGCAGACCTGAGGTCGTGAGTTTGATCCTAGCGTCACCACACATGCCCAAGTTGCAAGCCCTGCAT